TTTTTTTGGGGAAAAAAAACTGCCCCTTGATTTAGCAAATGGATTATTTTCTCTTTAATTATTTCTTACATTTGTTTTTTCAAGAACAGAATTGTTTAAAGCAGTGGTTCTTAAACTTTGGTTAGAACTTTTTAGCTTGTGGTTTGTGTCACTGGAGAACTTAGTAAAAATGAGATTTCTAAAACTAAGACTAGACTCAGCTCTTTTCTCCAAGTCGTGTGTATGTGTGTGTGTGTGTGTGTGTGTGTGTGCATTAAACCATATAATAGTGTGAATTTATCAGATGTTTTAAAATATTTTTTAGGTCATCTTAAGGGTAACTAATGATCTCACTTCCCAGTCAGCCTCACTTCTGGGTAGAATTCTTTAGAAGTACTATGAATAGACTGTTTCTTTTCTTTTTCTTTTTTTTTTTTAAGGACTGACAGAATTTTAAAGTCACAAAAGATTGAAGCCAAGATTCTATCGCTCAAGTCTATTACTTGATTTGAAGTTCAATAATTGGCATTGTGATTCAGGTTTTGTTACAGTGCCCTTGCAAAAAAAAAAGGTTATTCTGTGTTTGCTTATAACAAAGACAGTCATAAATGACTAGTTTATCTTGTCAGGAAAATAGGAAATGGCCCCTTCCTTTCACCACAACGTCAACGTAAAGATTGTAGTTTTATGCTGCATAGCAGGCAGACTCATTTAGGATTCCGTTTTCAGTTTCACATTGCATCTCATGATTCTCACATGACTACATCATAATACCTAATTGATTTTTTTCCAGATGTACATTGCTTGTGTTTGGAGTGTGGATCCTTTATATCCTCAAGTTAAATTATACTACTGAAGAATGTGACATGAAAAAAATGCATTATGTGGACCCTGACCGTGTAAAGGTTAGATATCCCATTGGTGTGGTTTAAATGAAAACATTGCCAAGCATATGCTTAAATTATAATATCATTAGTCTACTGTGTTACAAATATATGTTAATAAAAGTTTGAACACAGAGGGGAAAGCACTTAATCTCAGCACTCCAAAACCAAAGACAACTTTCTTCTAAAAACCTACCACTAACTACTCCACAGTAGCCTTCTCCCATTTACTGCAGCTGGGATGTGGGATGAGGTAGGCTCAACCCAACAGGCTCTAGGGCTCCTCTTGGAATTAATTTGTCCTGATGCTGTAAACAACAAAGAAATTCTCTTC